GCTACAATATCGCCTTGGAATACTACTGTAAAGATATTGTAAGCAAAAAATAAATAAATAAATAAAAATATTCAGTCATTCTATTACGGACTTTATTGTATTATTAATATCAATGTGGCGACAGCCCTACGCTATTATTTTATGTCAGCATTTTCTACTAAGCCAGGCGGACGCAAAGACGCGACAGGCAGTCGGTTACAAGCCTCGATACCGAGCACGCAGTTATTCGCGCACCCGACTCGGGTGCGCGAATATATGTATGTGTCATCATGTGTGTACGATCAAACGCCGTGGATTCGTACCGAACAAAGAAGAAACTCGCAGTGAAAATGAGTAACCACGAGGAAAAAAGTTCGTCGCAATTACACTCAATTAGTGTGGCAAGCAGAATCGCCCCGTTCGGGAGGGGCCTGCCAAAATTAGGGGTCGCGCAATTCGAGGCCATAATCGCGCCACAAGAGTTACGACGCACTCAAGGCCAGGCGGATGAGTGAACACATCAACACGCAATTTAATAAGCTTCTGGTTGACCTGCAAAGCGGGGAACAGAGGCCATCGCAACTAGGAGAAGCAGACAACCCCTGTCAGTTCTCAGCAGCGAGGTCCAGCGAGTTGGCAAAAAACTGCAAATACAGCACGTTCGATCGAGAGTTACTGGCTATCTATCTGTCCATAGACCATTTTTCAGGTACCTAATAGAAGGTGGGGAACTGATCGTCTATACGGACCACAGGCCATTGACTTTTGCCCTCCAAAAGATAGGTACGGCTAGAGAAACGCCTAGAAGGGCTAGGCAACTTATGTTTATAAGTGATTTTACAGATAGCATTAGGTACATAGACGGTACTGGGAACACAGTTGCTGATGCGTTATCTCGTGTGGAAACAATAACGTGCCCAACATCTATCGATTTCGCCGAACTAGCCACAGCTCAGGCGCAGGATACTCAGATTACACAATCAGTAAACTTAGAGTCACGTTTTGCAACATTGTCGCTACCTGACTCAGTCAAACTGATTTATGGCGAAATGGCCACCGGCAAAACCACGTCCGTATGTACCTAGCAGTTTTAGGAAATTAGTATTTCAGGCAGTTCACAATTTATTGTTACGGTACCTGAATTTTTTTTTTTTTCGAATAACTCGTTATTTTATTGCTCTTTATTTTCAACTTTGGTTCATCTAGTGGTGAAGTGTAAAAAAACCGTGCTAACAAGTGGTTAAAGTGCTATTTTTCTATTTGTCATTCTATAAATAGAACATGCACCACATTTTTACATTGTAACATTAAAATGTATTGTATTACTTAGGTACTTACTTAATATAAACAAGGGCGTCGCACACAGAATGACGCATCAGCGTTCTGATGACATTGTATTCATTGGGGTTCCGCTAGTAACTTTTGATTGTGAAATAGTAATTCATTCTTTCCTTCATTTTTCTCTTGTTTAACAAATGTGTTCCACATTTTTCAAAAAAGGGGGGAGTACTGTGGCGACAGCCCTACGCTATTATTTTATGTCAGCATTTTCTACTAAGCCAGGCGGACGCAAAGACGCGACAGGTAGTCGGTTACAAGCCTCGATACCGAGCACGCAGTTATTCACGCACCCGACTCCGCCCGCCTGGTTAAACCTTTCTGTGTGTATTTCATGTATGTGTCGTGTGATACAATAAACTTTAGTTAACTACCTAAATCGAGTATTTATTGCATCTCTACTCAACACCTCAGATAGGTAGTTAAATCAATGTCATAATTTGTAAAAAATTTGGATGTCAATATAATTGAAATGTCGTCAGCAAATAATATACATTTATGAGTAGTAATGTCTGGTAAATCATTAATATAGACTAAGAATAGTAATGGTCCCAATATACTTCCTTGAGGAACCCCATATTTGTTGGTTAAAAGTGTGGACCTCTCCCTAGTGATCACTGAATTATCATTTTGAAATATATCCACACATTGTTCATCATTCTTCAGGTAGCATTTAATCCATTCATGTGCTGGGCCTCAAATTCCGTCATTTTTTCATGTCAAAAAATATTAAGTACTATTGTTGGTTTTTTTAGGTTTAGGGTTTTTTAGGTTTTCATCTCTGATCTCTGATTTCAGATCCAGTTCTGTTGCTCTAAAGTTCTATTGCTTTTTTTTAAAAAAGCATACTTAAACAAATCATTGTGATCATAAAAATCATTCATAAAAAAATGAAATAAAAAGCAAAAATCATTGAATTACAGCCTAAGTCATCTAATAATAGCAAGAAAAGGGAACGACTAGATAGGTGTCTACACTACAATTATTATTACATTAAACTCAAGTTTATGTAAAAAGGAAAGGAATTAAAAATAAATTTATTTATGAAAAGAGCGTACTCCTTCCTAAAATGCCAGTTTGTGACTCCTGAGTTGCAGACGTTCATGGGCGGCGATGGTCACTTTCCATCAAGTGACCCGTCTGCTCGTCTGCCCCCCAAGCACAAAAGCATAGGATCTTCATAAATCGCCTTTGGACATCCTCAATATTGTCTATGTATTAATTATATCTTGGATTCCATACCTGTGACGCATATTCAAAAGATGGCTTCTAACATACGTACAGTATAATTTTTTTAATGGTTTTGTTTGTCGTTTGTCGTTTGTCTTGTTTAAAACACCTCGAAACACTCATCACAAAAACAAGCGCTTAGGAAGCTGTTGAGACTATTTCATCAATCATCATCAACATCATCATGAACAGCCTTTAATGGTACACTGCTAGACATAGGCCTCTCCTTAGAAAGGAGCTTTTGACGCCGCTGGCTAGACGACTCAGTATAAGGTTTGTTTCAAGTTTTCCTTTGAGAGAAATCGGAATGTCACCACCTCTCTTCATGCCGTGGGTATCGTAAGAGCCGACTAAGGCAACAAAATACGCTGAGCAACAGTTCTGCAAAGAGAAGGAAATTTTACACAAACCTCATAATAACCCGTCTGGCCAGCGTTCAAGCGGCCAAAACCTTCTTTCCAAGAAGATGAAATAACACTGAATAACAAAGCCTAATGAGAGATTTCGGCTCCCTCTGAATTTAGTGATTATGTTGGTTGCTCTAAAGAACTAATAGCAGAGAATCTATCTTGGACAGTAAATAGTCAACCACTTTTTAATAATAAAGGAATACTGTGGACCAAACTCCCTAACGAAAACATCCACAAAAATTCTTAAAAAAAATTGCATAATCTGTATACATTAAATCTTAAGTTGGATACGCTACAAAAATTTAAAAAGTTTAAGATAGAGTTCAAATTTTGACACGAAATACAAATCGATTCGAAGATGTTTTCATCTGTTTTTTACATTAGTTTTGTTCTTCATTGGGCTACAGCTACAGCGAAGTGTGGCAGGGTACAGCTAGTGTAAAATAATTGCTACAAAAACGTATTTCTTCCTTTCTAGATATGGATAGAATACATAAACTCGAGCGAGACGTCCTCGGCCGCCAAAAGTATATGAATGCGGTGATAGAAGAAGGAAACTCTCCTATACAACAATTCTTCTCTGGCGCCACCATCTTTATTACTGGAGGAGGTGGTTTCCTTGGCAAGCAATTTATAGAGAAGCTACTCAGGTAAGACGACTTTCTGACATTCATGATCGTATGACATGGCTACTAGCCGAAGTGCGCTCAAACTTAGTCTCAACTTGCTAAAACTACTAGATACTAAAACTTTTACTATGGTTAAATACTTTTCTACACTTATAAAATTAAAACATTTGCTTTGAAATTAAACCTAAGTAAAGTGTATATTATTTTAAATAAAAAAACGATTGGATACGTCAAACCGAAATAGAAGTCACTTTTTTTTTGTTGGGACTAATCCCACCCACACGCCCACCACTGTAACTCCTGCACACCAGGATCCACAGCAGTGACCCACGAACACACCGAGTTATGACACTCGGGAAGTCCCAGGAAGAAATTAAACTGTCTTGGACCCCGCAACGAAATTAATCAGAAGAAAATTGGAGGAGTTGGAAATACAGTAAATCCACTTCCCTCCTTAGCAAAGCGGGAGACAAAATGAAGTAAAATAGGCATACACCCTTTTAAACAGGGAAGCACCACGGTCACAAAATATTACGGGTCCTACATGAGCTATATTTGATTTCTATAATATGTATGGCAGAATCGCCTAAACGCACGGAAATTCACCCTAGTTGACACAAGATCCCCATAGTATACCGCCCCAGATGTCACCTGCAAGCTATTCAGCATTATATTACGTTCATTATACCAAAGACTACATTCCCAGAGGATATGATGAGCAGATTGTTCATAATGAGAGTTAGGTGTTGAGCATTGACACAATGGTGACTCGACTAATTTAAATGAATACAACTTGCTCTTAAAGTTACCATGACCCGTAAGAAATTGAGCGACACAGTGATCCACCTCAAGCCATGTCCTCGACAACCGTTCGCGAACTGATGGAAAAAATTGGTAAAGATGGCGCCCCTTGGATGATTCGTCCCAGCGTTGCTGCCATTCGTCTATGAGGTCATTATAGACATCGGACTGCTGTTGAAGCAATCTTGTAATTTTACCGCGATCCCGCGCTCACAAGAAATCGCATTCCATGTTTTGTATTGAATAGTACATGGCTGCACGTCTCTGCATCTCGAGATCGACCGGAAGCACACCCGCCAACACCGGCAAAGCCTCAGTGCTAACCGTCCTATATGCCTTGCACAAAAATATCAGTGCAAGTCGTTGGCCTTGTAACAGTTTGCGACGGCAGCGCCTACGGTCGCCCTATCGGCCCATACAGGTGCACCATAGCACATAGAACCTAAATAAGTAGCTCCGTATATGATCTTTAATGTATTAAATGATCCCATGTCGCAGTTGACATCCTTGTCAATGCACAGAAACTCTTTTTAGACTTTTCATTAACTATTTTAATATGTTCGATAAATGAAAAGTTTCTTTCTAAAACTAATCCTAGATAACACACTGTGGT